GACCACCTTCAAAGGTGAACAAACACCATCTTAGGTGTGGAATTTTGTATTAGCATCTTTCATATGGGCAAATGTTGCGTTTCTTCAGGCTTCTCTTCCCAATGGAAACGTGCAACCACAATAATGTGCCAGATTTGCAGTGGGCCACAGATGCCAAATTTCACCATAGATGGTCCTGCCAGAGGTATTCCTGGATATGATTTGGTGAACATTTCTGGCATCTGCTATACAGAGAGGAGCAGAACAAGCTGTTTGTTTGTAGAAATAAGTCAAATTAACTCCTACAGATGGAACTTAATCCATTATTTGTGCAACAAACCATTGCGGTCTGTAATCAGCTTGGGCTGCCATTAGACAGCTTTAAAGGTTTTCCTAGAAGGCAATTTTGTGAAGCCTTCAGCTTAAATAAAAAGAGATTATCCTGGAATGTGCAGAATGTAATAATCCAAGAAAGAGACAGTGAAGTCCTGAGGACTCTGCCAAATCCTTGTTTGGGAAATAGAGGCATCAGTCCCCTCACATGGTTGGATTTGTAATTGAGAACATCTCATGGGCACGAAGCAAGAGTGGAAAGGAGGCCGTGCACTGACACAAGCTGGTCTTTCCCTGAAAGACGCATCTCCTGGGTGGAAATTCAGGGAGCAGGGGGCTGAATACTACAAGTAAATGGATGAGCTCAGAGCAGGGATGTTAGTGAGACACCGTAAGCATTATCTTTCTAGTTACAGCATTTGAAAACCTACTTTCTGAACTCAGTGTTGATGCTTCCATCAGCACAGTGCCTGCAAGACCATGTGTATGGACCCTTTTTCACTGTGACTCAAAGAGTAATGCTAATATCTGCTCCAAAAGTCTTGCTTAAAAGCAAGCTTTTTACTCTGTTCAGAAGTCAGCTGTGTGCCCCATACTACTGACCCTGGGCCAAAGTCCCACTGGCAGTCAAGGAGTCCAACAAATGGGGCAGAAACCAAGTGAGAACCGTTTCTTGTATCTGCAGTCATGCACATGTCATGGAGAAGGATGGCACCTCTGTCCCAGCCTCTCTAATGTGATAGATATTTCTTTTTCCTTTTCCAACCTTCAGTCTCATAAGGTTTCTGAACAGTGAGATGGGAGGCACGTACAGATGCTGCTGCAGAGACAGTCAAAGAGAGGCAAAAGTGGGAGACCGGAATAACAACGAGTGCTGTGCCATCCTCATTTCCACGCTGGCAGAGAAGAGCATTATCCATTGGGAAGAGTCTATTCACTCCTGCCTAGTGGATCTTAAACCGGAAGACTGACAACTGAAAAATGATACTAATGATGATGATAATAGAGAAGCAGTGCTCAGCATGTGGAGCCCTGAGCTGGCAACAGCAATCCCTCACGTGAAGCATTTGCCATCTCTTCCAAGAGGGTAGTAATATCGGCAGAGAGGCGGTGGGGGGTAAACCCTATTTCCAGGGACACATCTATTTCACCCCGCTCATTGCCCTGGGGACTAACAACAGGATCCCATAGGCCTTTTGAAAGGATCTGCTACTTCACTAAATCTCTATGACACCTGCGATTGTCTCATGTTGACCATTATGCCTTTTGGTTGAGGAGGAAGAAGGAAAAGGTGTTAGCTGTTCATGGGCACCATCACTAACCTACTGGGCATAAAACTGGTTTTAACAAATCAGTTAATTTGCGAATCTAGATTAAGAAATTTCATTTGAAGACTGTAAGTGTTTAGCAAGTTATCAGCTGGAAGTATCTTATGAGGCATTTTGGCATCTCCATTCTGCAGTGCTCACGGATGGTACTGTCAGTAAATCTGCTTGGTCCTCAGCAGCTCTGCCCCTCCAGATGATGTCTTTTAATTGCATACACCGCCAATAAAAAAGCTCCTGTAAATTAGTCCTCACCTGCTTCTGTTCTGATAATCTCTCCCCACTATACAAATCAGCCTTAATGGGGCATTTGAGCCCCAGAGATGTATAATTATAGTATTAAGTTTCATGTGCTCACAGGTAGTGGCGCAGACTGTATTTTACAGATCATGTACAGAGTAAAATCAAAATCTACAACAGATTGACACCCAATAATAGAAATCCTTCTGAGGATGCTGTTGTTAACAGCTAAACCCCAAGCATTGTCTGAGCCTCACCCCAGCAGGGACGACAGCGCAACAGGGCTTCGAAGTGCAGAAAATGCTTGTTACTGAGGCCTGTACAGAGCTTTGGATTTGCAGCTATTTGCTCACTTTTTGAGCACAGGTAACTCACAGAGATTCTCCAAAGCTTCAAAGCAGATGGAAAGTACTGGAACAAAGTAGCTCCAGTACTGTGAGGATGCTTCGGGCCCTGTCACGATGAGCATCTTATAGTTGGTAACGTTCTTGTTTCTCCACAGTAAATCTCAGCAGAGAGAAAGTGGGATAAACTCAGTTGTTTTGAGGAGAAAGGCTGTGCAGGAAGCCCATTTACCAGCTAGCAGGGATGCCCTATCTATGGGGCCATCTCAGACTTTCTCTCCTAACTAAAGGGGAATTAAGTGAGACCTAAGGACTTGCAGAGCCTCCTGGCAGAGGGTCCCTAATGCTTGCATGCCCTGGAGGTGGCTGTTTGGTTCCAGCAAGGATAAAGGATTACCAACACCTATCAGCAGGGAGGAAAGAAATGCATATACATGCATGTAATGTAGTGCCAAGACTCAAAATCAGTTTATATCAGTTATTCCTGAAGGCAAAAATGGGTTTTACTGCTGGTTTCAGTGGGATTGGGATTGATGCCTGCTTATAGATCTTTTTTACCATGTTATTATGTAGTATTTCCAAAGATTTGCCAATGATTTAATCCATCCAAGCATTTCAGTCAGCTATTTTTTTTCCTCCCTGTATGAGTGCTAAGAGATTATTTTAGTGCAATTAGAACAAGCTGCCTGCTTGCAGTGGGGGAAGCCTGTTCCAGCTCCCTGTCAATTCACCAAACCACTCTTTTGACAGAAATAAATACAGACCCCCTTGTTGTAAACGGGGGTGCAGGTTGGTCCTGCAGCCTCTGAATATAGGCATTCCATCTGTCCCGGCGGCAGATTTGTTCAACTATGTCTGAACCTATCACCGCTCGGGGGAGAAACTGTTCTCTGACTCATGTTAATGTATGAATCTAATTGTATCCTCACGCAGTTTGCAGCTTTCATTGCCCATTTAGGAACATTAACATCATACACTGCGTCCTGGTAGATGTATGGTCTTTATAGACTGCATAATGTCCACAGAGCTCTGCTCAGCGAAGAAAACACAAAAGAATAGAGGATATTTTGAAGTTTGGAGGGGGGTTTCTTCTTTGAGATTGAAGTCCAGTGTCTTGGGACCCAGTGACTTTAGATGACCTTCCGTCTCCATGGACTGTACTAAATTTCAGCCCCTGGAGGCTACTCCATACAAAACCTCCTGGCTTTCAAGGGCAGGTGCAAGCAAAGCTTCACTGCGTCACAGATCAAGACCTGTTACTGCCAGAATTAGATTTCACAAATCTCTTTTCTTTAACAGGACACCATTAAGCAACTGGCCTCTACTGGTTGATGGTGTCTTTAATTAATATGAGAATTACTCTGCTATTAGGGTTTCCAAATGATGCCGTTTCCTTCACAGCATTTAGACTAACTGAGACACAGAGATGTGTGTGTATAGAGAAGCATGTGAAAACTATGTTAAGGCAAAGATTGCAGGTTTGGGCACTCAAAAATGCTGCTATTGAGGTGCAAACCTAATTCTTCTCCTTTCCTTCTAATTTTTGCAGCAGCGATCTGAACCCATGTTATAGTTTTGATAACTCCACCTTCTTCACTACATAGGAGGGCTGACTTTCAGGCAGAGATTTTGCCTGCGAGATGAACAGCTTCTCAGGGCTTTGCCTAACACTTTCAGTGTCTGCAGTCTGCCTCTTTTCCCTGTGCAGTATGTGATAGTGTCCTAAGGACTGAATCTCTTCCTGGGCTTTTACAGCAGCCCTGACCATCTGAGTATTCTCAAGCTCTGATTAATGAAATCACTGCATTCACTGATGATGTGAGGGGATGGTCGTGCCCCAGTTTTACGGATGGGAAACTGAGGCATAATAAAATGGAACCCAATCCATTCAGTGTCCCATCTGAGATGTGTTAAAGCTGGCTTATTTGGGCTTCTACAGCACCATATATCCAAGCATCCACCTTCTTTCCCCACAGATACCAACCACATTAACTGCCCATACATCTCTGATTCACCAGTGTTTTAGAGATTGCTGGAGGGACACAGCTGAAGTGCCTCATTCTCCCCATAGAACAGGGCAGAGAGGATAAAACTGTTACTTCTAAGGGTGTCTGTGTGCCTAATGCAATATGGGAGTGCTGAGCAATGCTGGAGAGGGGAGACATAAAGAATAGAAGCCCTTCAGCCAGGTAGGATTTTGGGGGTCAGAGGGCTCCCCCATTGCACACAAATGCAGGGGAAAGGAAAGGCTGGGGTTTCCCAACAGTGGAGCAGATTCCCTGGAGGCGAGGGCCTTCCTTGGCACCCCCAATCTCTAGCTGAGGGCCAGAGCTGTACCAGGGCTGCTGCCAAAGCCTCTGGCCACCCTTTCTCCTCTCCCTGCATGGAAGCAAATGGGCAGAGCTTCCATCCCACCGTGTGCCTTGAGGAAAAAGGGCAGCTCCTGGCAGTTGAGCTCCCCTAACACTGAAGGTTTAGGCGAAGCTATGAGCTCTGCACCCTGTTCCGGGGTCCAGCATCCTCTCCTTGCCCCAAAACCCCCAACATTTCCTCTCATGGACCATGGCAAGGGCAACCCTGAACACTGGCACTGCTCTCTGCCTGTGCATCCTAAACGGGTGTCAAATCCCTTCTCTATGAGACTTGGACCAGCTGATGTTTGCACATGTCTGTGGTCAGTGTGGTGTCCAAAACACCAGCTCATACTGGGACAAACCCTTCCTTTCCACCCCAGCCTCCTTCTGAGGAGCAAAAACCCTTCTGATGGGCTTAGGAAACGAAACTGCAGAGGCATTGCTGAAATTCAGTACAAACGTTAAAACTTTTATTTACACGGTAAAGTACAATTTCTTTTAAAAACAAAACCAAACCCCCACTTTGATAAGAGGCATAATAATAGAATAAAGCTCTTTATGTACAAAAATACAATTTTCATATGAAAGAACATCTTGAATAAATTAAACCGCTATCTGGCCCGGTCGCTGAATACCCCGTGTCTGCTCCTGCTCTAAAGCAAGGCCGCCGCGCTGGGGGTCAGCATCTATAATGCATGAGCCCCTCCGCTTGTCCGGCGGGCAGGAAGGGAGGGGGGGGGTCCCATCGAGGCCGGTGCTGGGCCCCCGGGTGCGGGCAGGGGGAAAGAGGGGGGTGTGTGGGATGCGCTGAGCCCCGCGCTGCGCCCCGGGCCGCATCGGCCCCTTAAGCCTTTTCATGGCATTGTCAGGGCGTTCAAACCAAATTTTCATGCTCGTTTTTCTTCGCCGGAGAGCTACAAATTGTAAAATTGACTTTTCACCTCGTCTGCGGCAGCAAATCTGTCGCTTTTCATCCCGGTTTTCGGAGGCGCACGGGAGGCGAGGCGGGGGTCGGGGGGATAGGGATGGAGACGGGAGGGTGGTGGAAAGTGCAACGGAGGGAGACCCCTCCTCCCTTATCCATCACCCGCAGCCCTCGGGAGGGGAGAACCGGGCGGCACTAGCGGCAGGGCGCGCCGGGGGCCGCGGGCAGCCCGCAGAAGCCGCGCAGGGCGTCAGCGGGCGCGTAAGCGCAGTCCTCGGAGGTGGCGGGGCTGCTGGGGCCGGAGGCGGAGGCGCAGAGCGAAGGGGCGGACGGGGAGGCGCTGGACAGCCAGGACCCGGCGTCGCTGCCGGGGCTTGGGGGCGCGGGGGCCCCGCGGAAGGCGGGGGGCTGCGGGAGGCACTGCTCGGCCAGGCGGAGGGTCTCGGAGAGGGCCCAGATGTAGTTGTAGGCGAAGCGCAGGGTCTCGATCTTGGTGAGCTTGGTGTCGTCGGGGAAGGTGGGCAAGACGCTGCGGAGCTCGTCCAGGGCGGCGTTGAGGTGGTGCATGCGGTTCCGCTCGCGGTCGTTGGCCTTCACCCGCCGGCTGCGCTTCAGCGTGTGCAGCAACGCTTCGGTGCGCGCCCGCGCCCGCCCGCGCCGCCGCCGCCGTTCCCGCGGAGGTTCCGCGCCGCTGCTGGCCGCGTCCGCGGGCATCCTGCGAGGAGAGAACACGGAGCTGCTGTCACTGCGCGGGACGGGGCGGAAGGGTTGGGGGGGAGTAAAGAAGGGAAAGGTGCGAAGCGGACGGGGAAGGGGTTAAAATAGAGGAATAACCACTGGGGGTGGCGGTGCTTGGCACGGCGGGACCGCGCCGCGCAGGTGCCGGCGCTCCCGTACTCACATGGAAAGGCACTCCCCGGGCTGCGGTGACAGCAAATAACGGTATAAAAACACAGAGATGGGAGAGGAAAGAAAGGCGAAGGTTGGCGCTGCGGGGGGAGGCAGCGCGGGCCCCGCGGGTGCGGGAAAGCAAAAAAGGAAAGATAAAGAGGAAAGAAAAGCCCAGCGAGCGCCGGGGGAGGCGGGGCGGGGGGGGGGGGGGACGGGGAACGGGGACACGCGACCGCTCTTGTCTTTGAAGTGCTGCGGTCTGCGATCCGCTCGTGTGAGCGGCGGCTTTGGCACACGACGGCGCTGCCGCCCGTACTTATAGCGCCGGGCGGACAATGGCCCCGTGGCCGCCCCGCGGGGCCGCGCCGAGGCGGCAGGTCGGCCCCGTGCGCCGCGCCCTCCGGAGCGTGCCCGCAATTACCGCGGCCAGCCGCGCATCTGCCGCGGCCCCGGGGGATGAGGGGGGGGGGGGGGGAGGGGGACACCCCGACCCCCCCTCCCCGAGCTTTTGTCCCCCTGTGCGGGAGCGGAGAGGGACGGCGGTGATCGGACACAAAGCAGGACGGGGCGGGGGGGGATCGGTGCTCTGCGCGGAGGTGGAGGGGTCACTGGGTTAGTCCGGGCTAGCCACAAGGGGTTGGTCTGCGCTGCCCATAGCCGTTATCCTGGGCTGACCACAAGCGCTTGGCATGAGCTTAAAAGGACGACCCGTATTTTGTCCCGCAGCCAGAATCTGGTGCAGGATTTCTTCGGGTTCTCTTTGCACCTTGCAGTTTGTTCTGCGCATCCTCGATTCGGAGAAAACTCCAGGAACAAACTTGCCAACAAAGTTTTCAAAGTGAATACGGTCTGAAGTGATAAAACTTGAAGTCACAGGTCTTGTCCCTGCGGTGTTTCAGAGGAATTTACACCTGCTTTGGCTTTTTGGGTGCTTCACTTTGGAAAGGGTTTTGCAGGTGTTCAGAAAGCTAAAAATCGCAATTTACACTCATTTTGCAAACTTCAGTGGGGTGAATGTATACCTGCAGCTCTTCATCTCTGGATAAAAACAAAGAACAGTGCTGTTCTCATTGTGAAGTTCTCCTTCCCTCTGCTAATCCCCACGAAGTGCCCGGGTATCACTGTTTAGCTCTTTGGGAAGCCACAGTTTCATACGTGGCTAAAAGGTTTCCTCATTCTGACACTTAGAGCATCCCACTGTCAGTGCTGTAAGTGCGCCATTGTCAGCACTCAAGTACTTGCCTCTCTGAAAGGTTTTCAGTGTCGTCATCCATCAATAGCCACTTTTACACTTCTGTACCTGAACTCATATGTGTTTATGTGATTTCCACTTGCACCAAAGGAAGGTTCATTCCCTCTCCTGTGATTTCCTCCTATGCCTTTGGTAAACAGGGAAAAGCAACAGCGGAAGTTATTGCCTGTATCTCCGTATTTTAAGTTCATAGCAACTACTCTTTAACCCTTTAACTCTTTAAGACAGGACTTCGGGATCAGCGTTAATCCTTCTGCTTTCCACCCTCCTCACTTCAGGATGATCCCTGACACCAGCAAACACCCCTGATCAACCTCCTGCGTGCCAGGAAGATCGCACAGAAGTGAGCAATCCTGAGAGCCCTGTGTGATGAATATTAACGAGTCTCAAACCAGAAACAGTCTTCCAGCATCAGCTCACTTTGTGTGTTTTAACACCTTTATGCACCCCCAGAGCTTGGATGTGCAGTATAAGCATCTAACGGGGCTGGGTTGTTGGGCTGGAGGGACTGAGCTCTCTCCATCACCAGACCTGCAATCAGGCTGATGTTTTTAGGGCCCGTGCATGCATAAACGACTCTCTGTGCTAAGTAGTTCCACTTCACTGAGTTACTCATGCCCTTAAGTGATGGCACGGTTAGAGGCCTCGGTCGGTCAGCAGGCGGACATCAGCAGTGAAATATCCAACATGAACCAGGAGAAAGTCAGAAGGCACCAAAACGTAAAGGTTGTGGAAGCATATGGCAAAAAGTGTTAAACTTCTGTTACCGTGCTCTTTGGATATAGCGCTATAAACTGGTGTCGTCTGCAGCACTTTGATTGCCTTTTGTGGAGGTGTCTTTGAGCAGTCAATAGTTTATTCATTAAAATGTTTATGATTCCCTCGAGTTCCGCAGACTTTGGCACAACCGATCACTTGTCTGCAGGTTTGCAGTGAAAGCGCATTATTCATTAGTCCTTATCCATCATTTGCACTTTGTCATTTGTTATTCTCTTGTTTTAAAAGTTTGTGCTCCAATCAAGGAGGGGAGAGAGCACCATGTGTCTCTGTGATCAGTCACAGCCATGAATAGCCGGAGCTGAAGTGACTGTTTCACAAACAACCCATAGGCTGAAATTTGTTTGCATAATCTATTCACTGCGTACTTATGAATAACGAATGCATTCACAGAACCAGAATTGTTTCAGGAAGCCTTCGCAAACAGAAAGAAGTGCTAAATATCTCGGATAATTTATTCCCGATGAATAATTCAACCCTTTCTATCGCAGGCAGTCTACTAATTTTGCAGATAAATTATTCAGCCAGCACAGATAATAGCTCTTACACCTTATGGGCCTGCTCCTATGGGAGTCAGCTGCAGAAGTTCTGTGAACTTTTCTAGGGTTGGGAAAAGAAAGAATTCCCAAAATGAAACAGGACCTTTGATTTCCAGGAGCACAGAATGCGTTCCCAGCATCTCACTGATGCCTTAGTCTAAGTTTTAGTCTTTGATATTAGCTCCTCCACCTTGATGTAAGTGCCTCTAGGCTCAGATGGGCTCGTGGGTGTTATTAGTTTCATATTTTGAGCCCTAAGGAAGCTTGCCATAAACCCCATTTGCTTTGAGACACCTCATAGAGCTTGAAAATTAAAAAGACGAGGGAACATTATTCAAATGGCATTTTTGACCATGGAAACTGTAAAAGCACAGCTGGATCAGCCCATCCTTCACTACCTCGGATGACAAACTGCTTATCTGAAATCACAGCAAACTACTGCGGGCATGTTTCCCTCCAGTGCATTTATCTCCTGAGCCTTGGTGAGGCCTCAAGCATGAAGCTGGCTCCTGTGCCCTTGTGTTGGGACATCCTGCCTTGGGTCCTGCTCATGGCTGGGCTCCAGAAAGAGGAATTAGTAAATAAAGGTGGAGGAAAGGCTGTTGGAGGAAAGGTGCCACAAGGCTCCCAGGTGCCAGCAGTGCTCACAGTGAAGGCTGTCAGTGCTCAGCATTGCTCTCTGGATGTCCATTTCCAGCAAGGAAGAAGGTGGTCCATGAGATGATGCCATTCCCTGGTAGGGGTTTATTGTACCTTGAAAAGGTAAATAAATCTCTACATTAGAAATAAGCCTCACATTCAAAAACTGACTGGAATTTGGATGATGGAGGTGTTGGCACCACTCCTCTCCCCAAGCATGGAGGTGAGAGGTTCACAGTAGAACTGCTCATGCAGCTGGAAGATGCTTCAGAGAAGCTAGATATGCTTCATTATTTTTCAAGGCTTAAGCTGCAGGTCAGTACAGCTCACCAAACTCTGTGTTTTGTTACATTAGCACGCAAGAGCATAAACTAATGTTGGGATGGGTGTCAAAACAACACACCAACCAGGAGAATACTGCTTTTTTGCTCCCTTGTTGTTTGAAAGCATGGCCACAGTAAATAGGCATCACTGCTTGGGGAAGATGCTTTGAACTGAATCTGGGGAGGCAGTGTGGCTGGTGGCCAAGCCATCACGGTGAGAGCAGAGAGCTTGACCCAGTGCCTTGCAGGAGGAAAGGTCGATGCTCACCCCAGGTCGATGCAGCAGGAATGATAAAAATAGATGGAAAACCAGAAGGTGGCTTGATGGGCAGCTTGTCCCCGTGCTTGCATGGGCATGGTGCAGAGCTTGTCCATCCTGGGCTGGGGACACGGCAAGGGCTGTGAGTGTATGGATGGACAGACAGTGCTGTGCTCCTGGGACCCGTGGCTTGAGCAGAGGCAGTTTACAGCTCCCAGCCCGAGGCTACCGGAGGGTTCAGGGGTTCAATCCTTGGTTGCTCACTGATGGACAGCCCTGGAAGTTCCGTATTTGAAAGGGATCTCAGCCAGCACGGAGACCATGGGGAAATGCCTTGGGAGCAGTGCAATGGCTTCATCTATAGAGGATTTGGCCTATTCCCTACCTGCCTGTGGTCAGTATGAGGCTTCAGGCCACATGCCAGGAGGGGAGCATGGGGGCATCGCTGGGAACATCCCCAAGTTCCAGGGAGGGTCTTGGTTCAAAGGAGTCAAATCCACTCTGAAATCCCACACAAGTGCCTGGGAGCCATAGCCAGGGCTCAACCCCTCCCAGGGGCTCTGTAGAAATAGTGGGAATGTTTCATTTCCAGGTTTTAAATGTTTGATGTAACTTTTTCCTTCTTTCTGGAAGGCGAAGGGGGGGCGAGTAGGTAACCGATTGTTCCCCGCAAGCACAAATGTATTTTGTTTGTTGTAATTAAAATGTTTTAATGAGACAACCATAAAATCAACCATTAATTATGTTTTTTTCAAACACTTCTGCTTCCTTTTGAGCCAGGTCTATTTAGAAATAGTTTAGAGAGTAGCCTGCAGTTTTATTCTTTCTGCGGTATTATACACAGGAGTGGAGAAGTCATTTATAAATAATTACACAATGTTTTGGGTCTTTGGGTTTGTATAATATATCAAAGCGATTAGTACACGCATTGTTCCATTGTAAATGGTTTTTTTCCCCTTCCTTTCAGTTTCACTTGCCTTGTCTTCTATCTAAACCTTTTTCGTGAAATCCTTTGTCTTCCTCATTCTTTTAGCTTGTTACAGTGCAGGGACATTCTTCTTATTCAAACACTCACAGCATGAGCAAAGAAAGCTACTTCTGTCGCATCTTAAGTTTTACCATAACTTTCTGGCATTTTCTTTTCTTCCCCTTTTCCCAGACTACTGATAGGGTAATGAAGAATTATAACATACATCAATTATTGGTGCTCACGGTGTATTATGCTCTTGAATTCAAGGGGAGATAAAGAGGGAAGAGAAACACACACCCCCCCCCCCCCCCCCAGCTCCACTTTCTGTGGTTTTGAGGCACATGAGAGAGGACTCGGCGCAGATTATTTATAACATCTTTCTGAGCATCAATTATGTTTGACTCCTACAACCACTTCCTTGTCCCACTGGTTTTATGGCCAGGAGGAGTCATTTTGGTGTGTGGTAGCTGCGGCATTTAACTTGTTTCTTTTATGAGGAGCCCAAACAATGCATCTTCAGGCCAAACAATCTATCTCCCCGGATAATAGCCCGAGTGTCAGTCAAGCGCTCAGGGCTGGGAAATATATGATCATGGTAAAGGGCCACGGGAAGAAAGCGTGGAGATGGAGGCATCTGTGAGGGGTCCTCGTGCTCTCTGCCCCCCCAGGAAGCTGGGCTGGACCCAGAGTGGGGCGCAGGTGCCCTGGGATGCATCCGGCTGCTTGAGGATTCAACAACCCTAATCCGAGTTATCCAAGGAAAAAGGGGAACCTTCCCAATGCGGTCACGTTGCTGGGGCACGCTCCCTGCCTGGCCCTTCCCCAGCCTTCTGGCTCCCACATTAACTGGGAAAAATGAGATTAGGATGTCACCTCCGAGAAACAAGCCCCCTTTCCCCCCACCACCTCATTGTGCAAGAGCTTTTTCTTCTCTTTTTGCTCCCCCTCCACCTTCTCCCGCCCATTCTTCCCCCTCTTTGTGTTGATTTGTATTTTGTTAATTGAAGCTAGAACACTTCTCCTAAAAGAAAGGGACAAAATTCATTGGCTGCCCTGTGGATGAAACAAAGTGCGAAGCAGGAAGCTCAACTGCATGCTGAGATGCTCGGGTTTTCTTTTATACCTTCCATATCAATAATTCTGCTTAGCTTTTATGCTTAGTTTGTATTTGCTGCAATGATATAAAGATAACCTGGAAGTATTGAAGCACCGTAAGGGTGGGATGAAATTGAGCCTGAGCTCTTGTGGGGGGAGCTCTGGGTCTTGTGGTCAGGGGAGGAGGATGCTCCAGGACCACCGGCAGCCCCCGGTCCTCATCGCCCCGCCACAGGGGCCCAAGGGATTTGCTGCCATTTGCATAGCAGGTGTTGGATCCCGGGCCATTCTTCCTTAAGGGAGTTTTAATACGGGATAAATTACTGGGAATTAGGAGGAGGCAGGCGACAAGAAAAGCGCTCGTGGAGTCTTCTCGCGGCCACGGCGGGGGGAACAGAGGGAATGGATAAAGAAAAGGAATAAAACCCAACCGTGGCAGCTCCTGAGTGTGGGGTGTGCAGGGGCTGGGGGCAGCTCTCACTGAACCACCCCCAAATTCAGGTTAGAACTCAGGAACGCAGTAATCCCAGGGACAGTAATACGATTACCGGCTGGAGGATCTTTGAGGGAGTAGGTCTGGTAGGGGAGTTTAAAATGTTAATCCCTGGTATAATCCCTTCCCTGGCATTGTATGTACAAGGGTTGCACCCGCAAGAGAATTCCCTGTTTCCTTCCCTGGGCTTAAGGGCAGGAGAGCAAGGCTGGAGAGCAACCCCGCTGCTGATGCACACACACAACACGTGTACGAACGTGTGCACTTATGCGTGCCCACCACATATGTGCGTATAGCTGCGTACCCATGTGCTTGTGCACAGTCCCATGTGTACTCACACATGCAAGCACATGTGAACAAATGTATTTAGCTCTTAGGCAGAAGCTCTTCCCTGTGAGGGTGCTGAGGCGCTGGCACAGGGTGCCCAGAGAAGCTGTGGCTGCCCCATCCCTGCAGTGCTCAAGGCCAGGTTGGACACAGGGGCTTGGAGCAAGCTGCTCCAGTGGAAGGTGCAGGGGGGCTGGAACTGCATGAGCTTTAAGGTCCCTTCCAACCAAACCATTCCTTGATTCTATGCTAGGTACATCAGCACACAGCAGAGGAAAGCTGTGTCACTGGTGTTCCCAGTGTACCCTGATGAAGACCTATCACACCTCAATCACAGCTTTGCTCTGTCAGTTAGAGTACACATATCTAAAACTAAAATGAGAGGCTTCATGTGTTTTTAAGCATCATTTTGAAACTCATCCGCCTGCAGGCTTTCATGGCAGGTAGGAAACGTTTTTCTGTCATTTTTGTTTCGACCCTCCCTCTGTAAAGGCACATTAGTATGAAACCATCTGGATGCTTTTCACATCAAAGGAGGTTGGTTGTATAAATCTGATGTATATATTATGTATGAATGGAGGCCATCCATAATAAAATATTCTATCAGTAAGGAAGATGAAAAATAATAATAAATAAAAGCAATGAATTCACCCCAAAAGAGCCAGGCAGGGATCTGCTGGTGCTTGTGGGAGTCCCAGTGCCTGGAAAGAGTGGGGCAGATGGAAAAGGCAAGCAGAGAACTGCAGGCACCAGCGCTGGGCCATGCCGGGCAGGACCCTGCACCGCGGCCCCTGGGTGCAGCCTTTGGGGTGCAGTTCCCACTGCCCTGGCCATGCGAGGGCCGAGGGTGACACCTCAAGGCACAGAGCTGCAACCTCGGCTGTGCTGGGCAGAGGCTTGCATCGCCTTGGGCTGCAGAGAGCTCCTGTCAATGGGGTTTATTTAGCGAGGAAAACCTGATCTGGGGAGACTGAGCTGAGCTCTTAGGCAGAAGCTGTTCCCTGTGAGGGTGCTGAGGCGCTGGCACAGGGTGCCCAGAGAAGCTGTGGCTGCCCCATCCCTGGCAGTGTTCAAGACTGGCTTGGATGGGGCTCAGTGGAGACACTCTGAGATGGTACCCAAGTCTTGTTAAATGAACCCTCTTTTTAATGCACTAACTCAGCTTTTTGAAGGATATCCACTGTTTTTCAAATAGATTCCATTAAACTTAGCTGAAAGCAAACGATCTGCTCTGCCTTCTGGGATTTAAAGGAGTACTTCCCACTAACTTAAATGGTCTCTGTCTATTCATTTAAGTGGGCTGCTTTGCAGCCTCAGTATTACATGTGCAATATATCCTTTTAATTGCTGTTCTTCAGGGACAAAACCACAGGTATAAATATCTTAAATTCAAGCCTGAATCCCCCCCTTTAGTTTAAGCAGCTACAGTGAAGGTGAGGGACTCAGTCTTGCTCTCCCTCACACTGACAGCCAAGTATGTCTTTCAGCACTTCTTTATGATAATGGCTCATGGTATAAAGGCAAAAATCACAGCAGAGTGCTAAAGTACAGGTGGAATAACCCTTCGAAGCTCTTGTGCTGCAAGTGGGTGCAAAGTGCTGGGTTTGCTGGGACTGGTACCTAATGCAGCTGCTGGGCCTGGTGCATAACAATAGAACTACTTGGATGGTGTCTAAATTGCTAAATAAATACTAGTTCTGGTCAGGGAATTAGAAAGACAGTGGAGAAGGGAAAGTAAACGTTGTCCTAGGTGAGTTTTCTTTCCTTGGGGCTGTATGCACTTCCACAGTAACTAGCTCCTCAGACCCAAGTCCTTGTTAATAAGGGGAGACAGGCTTGGCTGATGTATTTCAGGTGAGCCTCTGCTGCAGGGATGCTGCTTTCTTTTCCAATTTAAGCATGTATTAAATGGCAATAAATTCTCTGTTCACAGATAAACAGTAAAATAAGTGCAATTGTTAAGTGAATGTACTTCTTCAGACTGTGGACATCCACCGGTTTTAACCCTCTTGGGTAAACCCCAAAGTATTGGCTTTAATTTCACATCAGGTTTAATGCACTGCAGGTCTGAAGCTTGTTTCCATCTATTCCAGTGGGAATTAGAGATGATTTCTCTGGAGCTGGTGCAATTACACTTCTCCAGAGCAGGTGTCAAAGAAGGGTCCGAGCCTCCTACCCCACTGTGCAAACAGAGAAGGGGATCCGATGGGGCTATAAAATCACAGAGAAACATCGTCTGCAAGGTCATGTCTTCATTGCTTGTCTGGTGGGCTTCATGTATATACAGATGGCACCTACCCTAAAGGATCTTTTTGTCTTTTCTTTACGGTTTTCCCCTAAAAACAAACAGGGGGTGACGTTGTTTATTGTAGGGTTTAGTGTCTGGTGTTATTTATCTTCATTAACCTGTTAATGACCCCAGCCCCACTGATTACATGCCAGGTGCTGCGAATTCAGCTCATCTCTAACTCCACCCACAGGCTTCGCCAGTAAAAGCAGGAAACTCCTTTCTCTGCCTTGTAAATGGTGGAAGCAGCCACAAGATGTCAACATCTACCAAGCTGCTGCTCAGAGCCAGTTCTGCGTTGTCGGGATGGAGAGCCCTGCGAGGAAGTTCGCCCGCGGAGCGCAGGTACCGGCTTTACATGGGGGGAAAAAGCCATCCCAGGACATGGAAAAGCGTTTGTTTTACCACTCTTCTTGATTTGTGGCTCTTCTTTATCTCGGTTTGGTTCCCTTTATCTTTTTCCGTTGCAGGCTTTAGCCAAATTCATGACTCTTGTCTCTATCTGTAGGAAAGGACTTGCTATAAGAGGTGTGTTATGCAAATAAGGTCAAAGATGGGTAAAGAACAGGAGTATTATCAATTCCATGTTATATTTGTGAGTGTATATATGCGAGTAGCGAGTTGTTACAGCGAGCTCCTATGGATATTGGGATCCTAACCAGGGGCTGGAGCTATGCCCCCAGCCCTCCTCTCCTGCAAGTTACAGTTTGCTATAATTACCCTTAAAAATAGGGACCTGGCATTCAGTTAGCTATTTGGGTTATCATGGCACAGCGCCGAAACTTAAGGAAAACAGGAAGCAGATTGGTTTTCTCATGGAAAACCTCATCTTTCAAATTGTGTTTCAACCCCAGGTTTCAGAGCTTGCTGCCTTCCAGCTTCTTTCATCAGCTTTTACTATAGAAGCAATGGAACCCCTAGCAATGGCCCTTTTTAGCATGTGTGGCTGTGCCTGTGTGCTGATGTGGGGGCAATAGGACCAGCAAGGGTTTTTCTTTGGGCTGGGACCCCGATGTACTTGCTCTAAGGTCAGCTACAGTTGCTCTGAGCAGTAGTGCTGCTGACTTTGTGTTTTCCCTTTTGTGCACTCTGCTAGTTTTGTTTTTCTCCATCCTTTTCTCCTGGTCTTAAAGAACATTTCCCAGGTATGACAAACTTAAGGTGTATTTTTTAAATTATTATTATTTTAAAGCAACATTTGACAATTTTCTCTCTATTGATCATCATTTCCTGCTCTCATTCTTCAGACACTGCTCTGTGCAGTTGAAGTGTTGGGATTTCACCTTCTGGCCAACAACCAAACCTCCTTTTCTTCCTTGTAGGGGCTCCCCTTAGGGATACAGTGTGTGGTGGTCCTGCTCTCAGGTGTGCCGCTCTTATCAAGTATCTGCAAAATATTGTCCCAGGTGCCTTCAGATTCAAAGCAGTCCCAAGGATTTGCCTGTTTTACCCCTTAGCTTTGCAGAACCCATGCAGTCTGGCCTGAGTGTAATGGCTGTGGTAGCTGGTGGCATTGCTTGAAGTCAGGTGCAGTGATTTGATGTTGATTGCTGTATCAGAGACCTGGGTTTCCCTGGCAGAGCTGTGTACTAAAAGGGTGAGGGGACACCCTACCAGTCACTTCCAGTTAGAATTTAGGAGGCAACACTCAGCAAACTGGTTCTTGCTGGGGAGAAGGGCGCTTGACTGGGAATTGCTGGCCCAAGGAGGGAGCTGAGGAGCTCCAGGGTAGTTTGTTTTTCCTCATGTGGTTGCAGAAGTGTCAAGCTCTCTAAGCTTAGAGAGGAAGCTGAAGTAAACCCAAATTGTGCAATTCTAAAGGTAATAGGAATGGAGTATTTTTATGCAACACAATGGAATGGGCTGTAATGAGGCAAAAACGCTGAGGGGCAAAGACAAAAGGCATTTCTTCCGGGATTAGAAGCGAGCTAAAAATTGCCAAAGCCTACTGGAAAAGGAGGGGGAAAAGAAGCCTGTTGTAGCATTTCTTTCCCTTTAATAAGCTTCTTTTTCTGGGAGTCCCGAGTGTTCAGATGGAGCACACTTAGTGCCTAGTAACCAACAAAGCTTCGATTGGTGGCTCTGGGGAAAGATTTGCTTTTCCTTGCAGGTTTGTAACCATGAAGAAACCCCTGAGATCGGTTGCTTCGGAATCCTTAATTAAACACCACAAAGAAGGGCAATTAGAGCCGTGTTTTGCTTCTGTCATCCCGCAAATCTTGCCAACTTCAGACCCCTTTTCTTGCTCTGAGATTTATGATGGGAATACATCAGAATTATCCCTGTAATTATCAGCCTGCAGTGAGCACCAGCAGGATTTTTTCCCCCTTCTTTTTTTGGGGTAGGCTCTGAAGCCCATCCAAGAGGAATTTGCTCACCCCTTTTGTTGTGCAGGAAGGGAAACAAAAACACAGGCGTGGTGATTTTTTCCCAGGCCTTGGCTGCCTGCCTCCCTGTCACTTCATGTCGTGTCATCCCTCCCTCCCAGGTCCTGTGTGCCTGCTTGTTCCTGTTGTGCTGGATGCTTTCCATGTGTGTCGTCAGGCTGGTCTCTGCCCAAAGAGCTGGTAATAGGAATGGGCAGAAGATGAGAAATCCAAGTGGATCTGAGAGCTTCAGAGGTTGGCAGAAGGACCAGAAATACAACCTGTCAGTCAGTGTTTGGAAAACTGAATGCTTTGTGCATGCTGCATCTCTACAAAGCATTTCCTCCAGGGATCTTGGCTTTGATTTGATGGTTGGATGAAGGTGTGCTCATACCCAGCAAGAGGGAGCAAGTTCTTCTCTTCGGGCGTTGAAGGTGATAGGGTGTACCTATGGCTTTTCCTGTTGGGAAGTCAGGCTGAGGACAGGACCTGACTGCAATGCTTGGGCACCAGCAGCTGTATGGTATCTTGGGCTTGCTGGTGGCAGGAGGGAGAGCTGTTGGATAAGGAAAGCCACGTGGCTCGGTGTATTGGGCAGCTTCTAAAGGATTTTGGGCTTGGGAATGAGTCTTCCCAGGGTTGTGCCTTGGTTCAGTTTCCATGGCGGTGTGATGGATGTGTCCCCTGTAGACACGCTGGCAGCCAGGGATCCTCTTTGTCTTCAGTGTGCATGCTCTGTGTTAATGGGATAATACAAGGAGTAAAGCTCTGAGAAGGTTTCCCAAAATACAGCTGTTTGCTTTGGGAGGTTTCCCATACCCGGGTGAGGAAATACAACAGTCAAAGCTTTCCTTGCAGAGCTGGGAAGAGCATTCCCAGCATCAGCAATGCAATGAGCAGGCTCCAAGCTGATTTATAGGGCAGACAGGCTCAGGGCTGTGGAGGTGTCCCCAGGCTGGCTGAGAAGGTTTTTGATTGCCACTAGATGTCCTTTCAGCCCTGCTTTCCCCCACTGCTCCTCCAGAGCAGTCATCTGGGCTGGGATCTGCTGGCCATGGCCCAAGAGCTGCTGGGCACCAGTGTGCTGTGAGGTTGATGAGGGCAAGGAACAGGGTTGAACCCTGCCCTGCTGCTGCCTCCCAAACATCCCTTTGATCTCGCACAGCTTTGTCTTGTGTAGTGCTGGCTAATGGAAATGAGGATGCTTTGGATGCTCAAAACCCAACTTCTGGGTCTGTGCTGCGTATTAAATACTTTAATTCCTTTGGTGTGATTTGGGGGCTGTTAATGCATTGCTGTCTGTGCAGGGCTACTGATTAGTAGAGGTGATGGTGTGAGAAGGCAGCCTTTGAGGGTAAAAAAGGTGATGACTATCCCAGTTTCACATTCACCTTTGTTCCCATTCTATATGCATGTGGGTCCAGAAGGGACCTAACTATGAGGTTTAATTAGCTGATGGAGCACTTGTGTTGCTGTAACACTGCCTTTAACCTCCCACCCAGGGCTCAGGGTGACCAGTGCAAACCCTCAGGCCCCGCTGATGACTTTACCATAGAGCCCAACCTTTGGTCCCACAGCCCTGATGAAACCTCATTAGTGCAGGACCAGCTCTTCCACCTCATGGATGTGGTCAGGAAAGGTGTCTATGGGTGCAGCATCTGGCATGGCCTCATGCCTCGATTTAGGGTGGCTGGGGGGAGCTGGGGCACAGCAAGCAGCTGGACCTGTTGAGAGCACTGTGCTGTCTCGCACAGGCCACAGCTATTGCTGCTTAATAAACTTGCTGGCCATTGCTGACCTGGACCATATATGAAGAAGTGAAAGGCAAGTGGTGAAAGGATCTGTGTAACATTACTAATTCCATGTAACACTCTCACTGAGAAGGCAAGGAAGGTCTCCCTGCTATTGTCTCCCTGCACTGCAGCTGCTTGGGTCACCCTTATGCTGTTATTAAAGTCTGATAGTGATTGGGTTGCAGCCTGTGTATACCCAATACCCAAAGTGTGTGTGTGTGTGGGTCTCGTGTGCAGGGCTTGGTGTTCTGTGTTGCTGGATGGGGGAAAGCAGTTGCCTGCTGCTCTCTTCAGAGGCTCTGTAAAGGGTTTGCATCATTGGTGTGTGAGTAAAGGAACAGTGGGGTCTGCTTGTGCTGCTTCTGCACCCCAGGATGAAGCAGGACTCTGGCTCTCTGCAAGTGTTCAAGCTCTTAGGAAGGGGAATTGGTAACTGGTGAGCAGTTGGGGCTGGCTGGTGCGTGCTCAGACCGTGCTTCAGCAGCTTAATTCTTCAGTCTCGAAGCACAGATGTATGGTCTGTATATTAGGGAGGTTGGAGTGAATGGTCTCCTGTGGCTTTGCAGCCTGCAATCTGCTGGGGAAAACAAAAGCGAACCGTAAGGTTACTGCCAAATCTAGGTGGAGGAGGTACCTACTTATACGTATTTAAATGCTCTAACAGAGATGTTTCGATCTGAAGTGGTTGAAGTTTTGTGTGGCAGTCACCTTCTGACACAGTATTTCCCTTTACAGCTGCAGTATCAGGGATAGCAAAGGATGCTCCTCCTGTTACTGGGAACAGCCCTGCCTGGAGATGCAGTTCCATAGCCCTGGGAAAACCAGCTCCATGTCATTTTTTTTCTCTTATTGTTTCAATTCCTGTTTCCAGTGGTTGTTTTGTTTGGAGCACAGATTTCTTGTCAAAGGGAATTGTGTATCCAAGCAAACAGCTCTTTTTTTCCTTTCATTTCCATTTTAGCAAGTGGAAAAAAACAACTGCAGTCGGTCCCCTCTGTGCCCAGTCCTTGCTGGTGGTTTTGGTCTGGCACATGAACTGGGAGTCATTTGTCCAGACTATACCCTGCGAGGTGTGACTCACAGGCTACTGCGTTTGGGCAACTGGAGCTGTGTGCAGCATTCACAATGGAGTGTTAACCACTCTTGTGCAACTGTGTCAATACTTTCCCAGGAAATGCATTGCCCA